TCCCTCAAAGTTTCAAGAATCCATGATAACAGTATATTCAAATCTCATCCCATGATCACATGCATTACAAATGACCAATATGATACTAGTATTACATCTTTAATGCCACATACACTATTTGAGAAATATGGTCTAGTTGAAGGATGTTTTAGGATGGAGTGTCATATTGTAAAGGTGGCAACCCATCAAGTAAGTCAAAGAATGTAAAGTTGGCGCTAAAGGTATTATTCATTCCCAACTATTGCATCCATTTATAAAATATAAAAGACTCTCAACTCATATCATTAAAAAGTTAAAAGTAATTCGTAATAACTACTTCCACATTGCCAACACTTTATATGCCACCTCATTAGATCTCTTGAGTAGTTATTAAAAGCTTTAGTTATATAAGAAACAAAGTTTGCCTATAAAGGTTCAAATTTAAATAAGCTTCAAGAGTGGGTTGGTAGAAAAACTAACATCAATGGTAGGGTCAATGTCTAAGATGGTGGAGAAAATTATTGCTAAAACTTCAATAAAATTAAATTATGAACCACCTGAGGACATTATGATAGCTTATATGAAGCATTGATAGATATTTAATAAGCTTGACATCACTTCTTCCAACTTTCACTATCTAGAGTTTAGACTACCATTCTATTTTATAACACTAGAGAGGTCTTGAGGAACATGGAGTGGAGGTGCTAATTATTACACTAGTAGATTTAACGCCAAAAGTTGAGAAGGTTATTGCTCATAAACTAGTTTCTCATATCAACTAAGCAATTTGAAAAGTCAATGCTAATAACAATGTATGCTACTCCAAAATGATTTAGAGTCAAGGTCAATTTCTCACATTTATGTGCTCAAACTTGAGTTCTTCAGCAATGCCATGTTTTAGGGGTTGTCAAGATCGAAGGCTAAAAAGTTGTTAGTCAAGCTAGATTTTCTATTGTGGGATTAATGTGACTCATACAAGCCGGATCCACAGCTCAATTATCTTGAAGCCAAATTCTGTGCCAAAGGAGTGATTAGTTAAGTGATGTTATAATCTTTCAAAAGAAGAGATTAAAGGTCTGAAGAGAGTGAGTTTCAAGTTGAAGAGTTCTTCAAATATTAATGTTGGTGCTACTATGCTACCAATATCAATATTAGACCAACATATATGACTAATAAGAAATAGAAGGGTTGTATAATATAAATTTTCTATTTCGAAGGGTGCAAAAGAGAAGATCAAGCTAGCAAAGGAGTTGAACTACATATTCATAAGGACAAACTACATTAGTGTTGTGGCTAAGGAGTTTGTTATTGTGACTGAGTCATCAAAGGGTGCTAAATACACTATCCAAATTTGCAAAAATCCATCATATAAAGGGACAATAGGGGAAAAGTTTATTTAGCTTACGAGCATATTTATTATATTTCTATGCATGAACTATACTAAGATCCTAAGATCTCACATCCACCAAGTAAGCTTTCCAATTGTTGAGTTTTATTTTTAGATTGCTTTTGGTGTTTAGATACATATTTATATTTGTATTTTATTGGTTAAAATTACTTGGAAATATTGATTAAATCAAAATTTAAAAGATGTAAAAAATATTTATTTAGGATAAACCAATGTTTTTTCTATGTTTGAGAAGTCGTGAGCTCAGCTCATGAGCTCATGAGCTCAAAACCAACTCGAGCTCAAATATATCTACCTATATATACCAAAGATAATAAAATTCCTCTTTCAGTGCACCCCCTAATTTCTACCCATTTTAATGTAGTGACTCATTGGGTATTGCCAAGGTTGCAATGTGTCTTTGAGGCTAGGCCTCTCTTATGGAGCAATTAACAAGGTTTAAAAGTGTTTAAAAGCATTTAAAAGTGCACTTCCAGGAACTTGGATGAACATATTAGCTACAACAATGAAGGTGATGACTTTGTTGAGGGACAATTGCCATGGTTTGGAGAGCTCTCTTATGAGAACCCTAGCTTCTGGATGTTGGAGAAGGCTGGCTAGACAGCAGGGATAAGGCTAGGATCATGTGGTCTGGTCAGCTTTATCCATTTGAAGTTACCATGATCATCAGTTGTCAAGGAACAATTTCCGGCAAGTTTCAAGATGTTGTGGAGTTTGTAGAGGTGGATTGCTTCCTATGCTATGATGCATAGAAAAGCTCACGAGAAGGAAATGCTCAATCAATTAGTCCCAACATAAATAAAGGTGGCTTACGAGTAAATTCCTCATATTGCTATTCCTTTGGAGATGACTCTAGAGCCTGAGTAGCAGTCTCTCTTAATGACTCTTGGTGCTAAAGATCCACATATTCCATGAACAAGGTTGTTTCATGCTTTGCAGCACCACTAGCCATACTCACTAATTGAGGACTTGAAGTTGATGCAATTGAACCTTGATCTTCTCCAACTTCTTAAACTTGCTCCAGAAGTGTTGGATTAGTTTGTTGGTGTTACCAACAAACTGCCTCTTTTCCAGCACGTTCGACAAGAGCTCCAGCATGTTGATATGCATATTGTCAGAGATCAATATTGAAGCATTCTTTTGCACGGCCAAAGTTGGACTCCATGTGATCCAACATGTGGTCATTGACTCTTGCTTTGGAACCAACATCATTCCAGCACATATATATTAAGAGCTCAACTTACTTGTAGTCATGAAGACATTGGTGATCCTCAAGACTTTTGCCCAGCATCAAGTGTGGCCATCAGGTCTTCTATGCAAAGTCTAAGGTCACTATGGTGGGAGTTTAGACCTTTCTAGATTTCCTGGTCGTCAAGTTTTCAAGAGGATGTAATGCTACAGCTCAAACCTTTATGGCACTCCTTGGACAAATCTGGCTGGAGAAAGTCCATAATCACACATATTGGGACACTAAAGTGTTGGAGATTTCTAAAGTAAAACATGTGGGGAAGTTGTACAATGCTGCTAGATGCCGTCATCTTCGTGAATCTCCAACCACACTAGTGGAAGTTCATCATTGATATCACCTCTTTCATGGTACTTCACTTGGATGAAAGATCTTAGGATGAGGATCAGGTGCTCCGTGATTGGCTCCAGACCACAACAGATTTTGAGTCCATATATGTGATGCCACTATTGATGTTTGGGTGGTTGCATCAATGTCTCAATGAAGCTCCAGATGTAAATGTGCATGCTACCTTGGCTATGCACTTTAGACCATCAATTCCAAGCTGGGTTGAAGCTTGACTATCATCATTTCTAGCAACTTTCCTTCACAAAGACTCTCCAAGAACATTGAAGCAGATTGTGTTGCTTTGCTCTGAATACTTTCGATTGGATGAATGTGGTTAACAGTTAGTGACAGAGGTTCAGCCTCACTTTCTCTTCACTAATGGAGCATACAATGGTAGCATGAGTTGTAGTGGCATTGGCTTTGCAATTCTCTCACCAACTGAGGAAATGATACATGTTGGATCTACTTTGATTGTTGTAGAGTCTTCTAATGAAGTAAGGTATAAAACTCTTATAGTTGGTGTCCAAGAGGCTCTTGGTTGTGGTTTACAACACTTGGCAATCAAGACAGACTCCAACTTTGCATGCCAACACATACATGGTGAATTCTAGCTCAAAATTTCACAACTTCTTCCATTACATAAGGAGCTTCAACACCTACTAGCATAGCTCAGTTCTTGGACACTTCAGTACATCTCCAAAGAGAAAAATGTGGTTGCTGATGCCTTGGCTAAGTAGGGTCTTGTGGCCTTCCTCATACAAAAGATACTTGATGAGAGCAAGCTTTCACCATTTGATCTGAGGCTCTCATCAACTTGGTGGAGGTCAGCATGGTTGCTTTTGTGGTTGACACTAACCTCATTGAGCTCAACCTGGCCACTCCTGGATCCTCACCACAACTCATCTTCATTGGGGATGAAGTCACTCAAGCGGAATATGAGCAGTTGTGCCACCTTTTCTTTGACTACAACGATGTCTTTGCATAGCACTATACAAATCTGTGAGGAGTCTTTCCAAAGGTGGCTATGCATCATATTCTCTTCCATGAGGATGCTTGACCAATGCAGCAAGCTCTATGATGTCTCAGTCCCATGCTAGTTTTGGTTGTCAAAGCCAAAATCATGAAATTTATCAATGTCAAGTTCATCTTTTTAGTCGAGACTGCAGAGTGGATTAGCTCAATTGTTCCAATGAGGAAGGCCAATGGCAACATCCAAGTCTATGTGGATTTCAGAGACTTCAACAAAGCTATGTTGCATGACTACTTCCTGATGCCATTCATTGACAACATTCTCAATGCCATAGATGGTCATGAAATCTACTCCTTTATAGACAGTTTTAGTGGCTACAATCAGGTGCAAATCTTTGAGCCAGATAGAGTGAAGATGTCCTTCCACACACTTTGGGCATCTACGTATACAGGGTCCTTCCTTTCGGCCTTGTGAATGCATCAACAACATTCCAGCAGATCATGAATTTTGCCTTTCATGACTTGACACTCTACTCTCTGCAGATTTACATGGACAACTTATGTAGTTTTAGCACTAGAGGCACATATATTAAAGATTTAGAAACCATTTTCTTTGAACTCACTTTGATTGGCCCATGTCACTAATATAGATATTTTGCCACATGGTCAATTGCATAGCAAGCTCTTCTAAGAATGTAAAACCATGAAATTAGCAAAAATACTAGAGTTCCTCACAAGGACTCAATAAACCCCTCAATCAGATGCACACATGATTCCCAATCACAAGTTTCCCTTCATTAAGATTAAAAAAACCCTATTCACTAGAACTTTTTCTAACTAAGAAAAGGTGGCACCCTATTTCTGACAACACACACTCACTGACTAACATCAGCAAAAAAAAATTCATAAACCATATCTACCAACCCACCCCTAGCTTGCAATCGGACAGCCACAAGCCTCCCCAATATTATTGTTTATACCCCCATTTTTTTCCGCCGTGAAAATCAAGTTAATTGCTACTTTTTACCTTTTGGGAAAGGTATATGCCTGGATAACCTTCCTCTTCTAGGGTTTATGGCCATGGCGGGATCTCAGCAGAATGCTGGCGCCGGGGGAGGATCGTCGTCGCTCATGGATCTCATCTCGGCGGATCCAGTCGCGCCATCCCCTGCTCCCTCCTCGGCGTCGTCGGGATCGGGTGGAGGCTTCACTGCCGGGCGCAGATCTTTCAAAAAGTCGAGCCTGCCCAATCTATTGCAGCTGCCCGGCGATGGCTTGCTATCGCCTAGCAAGATTTTGCCGTCTCCAGTCAAGACAATCGCTCCCAAGCAGAAGAAGGTAAGATCTGCCGCATTGCTGCGAGATTTGAGATTTTTGAGGGATTTCCTCCGTGTTGTTTTGCAGCCATTGTCATATTCCCAGCTCGCCAGGTCTCTGCACGAGCTTGCAGCGACGTCGGATCAGGTATCGCTCGATTTTTTTCTCTTCTCTAGCGACTTACTCTCTCCTTGGCCAAATAGAAAGCACCTCAAAGGCAGCTCGTCAATCACGTCTTTCCCAAGCTCGCTGTGTATAGCTCAGTGGATCCGTCACTAGCGCCATCTCTGATCATGGTATGTCTAGAAATTTAAAACGTCTAGAAATTCCAACTTGTGTCTTGCTTGGTTGTAGCTCCACCAACAAGCTGATGATCGGCAAGTTTTGAGATATGTCTACTACTTCCTCTCACGAATACTTGGGGAAGCTGATTCGCACGGTGTCGTTCCTGGAGGCGGCATTCCAACTCCCAATTGGGATGCTCTGGCAGACATGAGTGTTGCGGGAGGTGTGACAAGAGCCGATGTAGTTCCTCGTATTATTGAACTTCTGGCTGCCGAGGCGTCCACTCCTGATCCTGCCGGTACGTGTTGCTAACTCTTGCTCTCTTTTTTCTTTGTTGCTTCTACTCCTTCAATGCTCTAATGTGCCACAGCACAGTTCACCCCCGGCGAATTGCTGCATTGAAGGCCTTGACTTGCGCTTCAACTAATGAGGATGTCGTGACAAAGTTGTACGAGATTGTTTTTGGCATTTTGGACAAGGTAATGAGCGAGCATCGTGCAATTTTAATCGAACGCTTTTGTTTTCAGGTTGCAGATGCAGGCAAAATACGAAAGAAAAGGGGAATGTTTGGTCGACAAACGTTGGATAGAGAGGTGAGTAGCTTCACTGTTAGTGTCCAGTTTATACAACGATGCCTGTCTTAGTCTGCTTTACGAAGCAACTTACAATATGCCGCGCTGAGTGCTTTGCAAAAGCTTCCAATAGACCAAGGGAATCCCGCTTTCTTGCACCGTGCCGTACAAGGGTAAACATTCAGACGTTCTCAAAGGCAACGCTTAAGCCATGATTTGTTGCAGGATAGCGTGTGCCGATCCCGTGGGAGTGAGACATGCCTTGGCAATGGTCTCAGAAATGGCGCCGAGGGATCCTTACGGAGTCGCAATGGCTGTCGGTAAGATCCCGGGTTCATGATGTTAGAAGTTAACAATTTTAATTTTCTCTCTTGTAGCGAAGCTATCACTTGCAGGAGGTGAGTCTATATGGAGTGAAGTTGAAATTTTTCTCAACCAGTCGTTTTTTTCTTGTTTTTTTCTTTATAGGATCATTACAGGAGGTTTTGCAAATTCATGATGTTATGGCCCGTGTATACCTCGCTCGACTTTGCTACGTACTTTCGAGAGCTCGCGTATTAGATGGTTTGAGTTTCCTTTTATTATCTTTGTTTTCCGAACTCCCATTGTGTTCTTTTCTACAGAAGTACCGGATCTCAGATCGCAGTTCACTACTATATTATACCAGCTTCTTCTGGATCCTAGTGAAAGAGTTTGCTTTGAAGCAATCAGCTGCATTTTGGGGAAATTTAGTAACACTGAAAGGCAAGACTTGAAGTCTCTTTTGATGTTAGCTAGACATTCTATTGATTCTTGCTACAGTTCTGCAGAACGTGCAAATGGATGGACAGTTTTGGCATCTGCAATTTTGAGATTTCCGGATTCTTCTTTCAATCCACTGAAAGACAATTCTCCTATTAAGGATGGAGGTTCTCAGGATGGACAACCTGCAAAGCTACCTAGAGATCGAACCATGCCAAGACCTCGAAGACCTCAAGCACTCATCAAGCTGGTTATGAGAAGGTAACGTTTTTGTTGTCTGCAAGTGAAACCAGATGACGTTTGATGCAGGCTGGAATCTGCCCTTCGGAGCCATTCAAGACCCGTACTTCATGCTGCTGCCAGGATTATCATGGAAATAGGAAGAAGTCGAGCGGCAGCCTTTACGCACGGTGTATCCGTAAACGAAGACAGTTACCCCGAGAGCTTCATTGAGAATGGTTTAACTGAAGATGTGGGAGATGCTGAAGGTAATCACCTGAGTATGAGTATGGATGACAACTCAAGACCCTTGCAGGTGGTCGGTCGAAAGTTTCATCTCTTTCTTCTGCAAGAGAAACTATATCCAGCATGTTGTCCTCGTTGATGGAGGCTGTACGCACCACTGTCGCATGTGAATGCGTCTATGTGCGTGCAGCTGCCATCAAAGCCATGATCTGGATGCAAAGACCTGACGAATCCGTCGAGGAATTAAAGTCTATAATAGCGGGCGAGCTCTCTGATCCGTCATGGCCTGCATCGCTTTTGAGTGATATACTACTCACATTGCATGCTCGTTTCAAGGTGATCCAAAGACTTTCGGATTTTGAATTTTTCTGACCGGTTGTTTCCAGGCCACACCTGACATGGCAGTCATCTTACTGGACATTTCGCGGCTGTTCGCAACCAAAGTACCTGGTAAAATTGATGCGGACGTCTTGCAGCTTCTTTGGAAGGTTAGCACTGACTTTTGTGCATTGGCTATATTCCTTCGTTACTTTTGTAGACATGTCTGGTTGGTTGTGGCCCAACTGGAAAGCACACCGCTTTGGAGGCTGTCACCATTGTACTGGACCTTCCACCGCCCGCACCAGTGGTGATGAAGTCCTCTTCCTTGCTGGACAGAATATCTGCATTTGATCCAAAGGCTGCAACAGCACTTCTGCGACTTGTTCAGGCTGCGGTATGGAAAATACTTTTTGACTCTAGTTGACACTGCGTCACTCAGGTGTGGTTTCTGGGTGAGAATGCCAACTACGCTGCAGCAGAGTACGCATGGGAATCTAAAACACCTCCAGGAACAGCGTTGATGATGCTGGATGGAGACAAAATGGTGGCTGCTGCAAGCTCCAGAAATCCTACCCTTGCCGGGGCTTTGACCCGCCTCCAAAGATGTGCCTCAAGTGGCAGCTGGGAGGTACACGTTCTTAGTTTCTTTTCCTTCCTTATTGCTAATGTTTGATCGACATCGTTCTTGACCAGGTGAGAATCGTTGCCGCGCAAGCATTGATCACGATCGCTATAAGGTCGGGTGAGCCTTACAGGCTACAAATCTACGAGTTTCTGGATGCACTTGCTAAAGGACATGCATTGGACAAATTTTCCGACTTGCACGTGAGCAACGGTGAAGACCAAGGCGCTAGTGGCACAGGTCTCAGCTCAATACTCGCTCCAATGCTTCGGGTGCTAGATGAAATGTACAAGGCTCAGGATCAGCTTATCAAGTATGTATCTACTTTCGTTTGGTGTTTACGCAACTCATAGGTGCTCTTTCAGGGATATGCGACAACATGACAATGCAAAGCAAGAATGGAGCGATGATGAGCTACGGGTACTTTATGAAACTCACGAGAGGTTACTAGATCTAGTATCTCTTTTTTGTTTTGTTCCTCGATCAAAATACTTGCCTCTTGGCCCCACAAGGTATGTTTCAGTTATCTGTATCTCTGGGGACTAACGCTTTCGTGGCAAGCAGCGCGAATTTGATAGATATTTATTGCAAAAGGCATCACATCGATGTTGCTACTGGGTATAATGATCCAGCTGTAGCGACAGGCATTGCGGACTTGCTTCCCTACGCTGGAGCGCAACCCGAGTATCCTCCAGTTCAAATAGAAGAAGACAAACCAAATGTTTCGGATACTTTATGGACTTCGAGTCCTCGGGCGGCAGATCTGGTTAACGAAGAAGTCCAGTTTTCGTCTTGTATGGTTCTGACCGCGTCTATGTTTTCAGGTAAACGACTTTCTTGGTGGAAAGGGTACAGATGCTCCCGAAGTGGAGGAGAATCCGACTGCTCGACAGTCCATCAGCTACGACGACATGTGGGCGAAAACGCTGCTGGAGGCATCGGACGATGAGGTTTGCCATTTGCAGTTTTATGTGTGGCAGTCACTAACTAAATACGTGCCCCCAGACTGTAGATGATCGTTCCTCTGGGTCTTCCTCCCCAGAGTCAACAGCATCTTTCGAAACATCTGCGTCGTCACGCTATGGCAGTACCAGATATCCCTCTCTGTTCAACAATCCCACAGCACCTGGGTTCGGCCAACAACAAAGATGGGTATGACTTTGTATTTTGAGTTTCACCTTGAAAATTTGGGTTCGGACGCAGGAGGAGCCAAGGCCTGAACCTTCTACACTATCTTCACTCAACGAAGACGAACCTTCAAGAAGCGAGGTTTGTGAACTCTTAATCTGTACTTACTGACGTTGCCGCGAAATCTACAGGAGGAATCTTGGCAATCTAGATTTGGAAGGCAGGACAGTTTTTCGTCGGAGAATCCCAGCCACGCATCCCTTCAAGACGGGACTCAGTCCGGCAGAGCCTTATACGACTTCACCGCGGGTGGTGACGAGGAGGTATGTCAGCAAGGTACACCATTGAACGAAAGTGCTAATCAAGTCTACTGCCGTGCAGTTAAGTATAGTCTCTGGCGAGGACCTGGAAATCGAATATGAAGTGGACGGCTGGTATCACGTAAGTTTGTTCAAACCTCATCAGCCCACAGCTAACGCGCATATACAGGTACGAAAGAAGAAGCCTGGGCGAGATGGCAAAATCAGTGGACTGGTCCCAGTACTCTACATTGGATCGTGATGAGGTGTATGACAGTTTTCCCCATTTGCTTGTAGTTTCTATCGGGAATTTTGCTATCCCGTCCAGGGTCATTTCGTCTTGTCAGTTTTCACAAACACTTATCCGGAATTGCGTTATCACCCATGATACTGAGCAGTGCTATCTATCTCTCTGCAGCTAAAGGCTTGTATCTTGAGTTGCTCCTCCCACATTCCTTTGCTTCCATAGAGCTTTGCCATCAACAAACAAGCTGCATCGTCCCTCCCGTCCAGCCTCACCAACTTCTCAAAAGCCATCCTTCCTTGTTCTACGTCTCTCCACTTCCAACAGGCGCTTAGAACAGTCGTCCAAGTGACAACAGTGGGTTTGAAAGGCATCGCAGCGACCACATCCACGGCCTCCTTGATCCTGTTAGCGCGACCAAGCATATCAACCAGGCAGTGGTAGTGCTCCAAGCTTGGACTCACTCCAAAGGTGGACACCATGAGCTCGAAGTACCGGCGGCCAGTGTCGACCAGGCCAGCGTGACTGCAAGCAGTGAGAAGGCACACAAAGGTGACGCTGCTCACCGGGACTGTCTCCTCCAGCATCTGATGGAAGAGTTCCACGGTCCGGCGGAAAGCTCCCACTCGACTGTGCCCTGCCAAGAGCGCGTTCCAAGTCACGGAGTTTCTGGATGGAACCAGGCCACCAAAGACAAGCTCGCAGTCGCCAATGCTACCGCATTTGCCATAGCTATCGACGAGCGAAGTTTGTACGATCTCGTCCTCCATTCCACTCCGGCTTACGTGAGCGTGGATCGCCTTGACAGTCTCCAAGCCGGCGGCACCATCGCAACTAGCCTTGAGAGCAGCAGCAAACGTCAAAGCATTCGGGGCCGGACACTCTCCTTCGAGACCCATACGGGCGAGCAGCTCCAGCGCCGAGCTCGCGTCTCCATTGTCGGCATAGCCCAGTATGATCGAGTTCCAAGTCACTACGTTCCTGGAGCGGCTGGAAGTCTCCTCAAACACTCGCCGAGCATCGCCCATGCTTCCACACTTGCCGTACATGTCAACGAGCGCGCTGACCACGAAGACGTCTGCCTCGCAGCGACAGGAAACTATCTGGGAATGAAGAACACGTCCTCGCTCGAGTGTAGCAGCTCTAGTTCTTTGCTGCTGCTTCTTCGCGTCGCGAAGCTCGGCCATGATCGAGCAAGCCTTGAGCGCTGCCACGAAGGTTGGCGCATTGGGCTTGCAAGGAACCTCCATTCGCGACTGGAGCTCGAGTGCCATCTCGGGTTCCTCGTTCTCGGCACAGCCAAGGATCAAAGCATTCCAGGAGACAACGTCGTGACACACAGCCTTGTCAAACGCCGCGCGAGCGTCCAGCAGGCTCCCACACTTGGCATAGCTGGTCACCAGAGCGTTGGCAAGGAACATGTCCGTGCGGGAGCACGCGCGAGCCTGCGAGTGAATCGCCATGCTCGATTCCAGCGCTTTCATCTTGGCTAGCTTTCCATCGGCAAGGAGCTCGCCCTCCTCGGCGGCTGCGAGCCCAGCGCAAGCCTTGATCGCGATGAGGAAAGTCCTGGCGTCCGGCGAGATGGCGACGGAGCGTTGCGTCATTCGAGCAAACAAGTCCAATGCCAGGCGTGGCTCGCCGCTGTCTACGTAGCCGAGCATGAGCGAGTTCCACGACACCACGTCTCGATGACCCGCCATGGCCTCGAAGATCCTGGTCGCGCTCGCCAAGCTCCCACACTTGGCGTACACTGCCAGCAGCGAGTTTTGGACGAAGAGATTGGAGGCGTGGCCGCTGGCAACTGCGTCGTGGTGAATTGCATTGCCAGTTTCCAGGATCCTGTAGCGATCACAGTCATTAATTCCAGCACCATCTTCTTCCTCTCTCGTGATCAGACTCGTGCAAGCTTTCAAAGCCGCGACAAAGAGGCGAGCATCTGGAACACAAGGATACGACGAGCCAGAGCCTCCTTCCCCTCTCGATCGCGATCGCGAGAACAAGGCGAGCGCCACCTCTTCCTGCCCGGACTCGACATAGCCAAGAATGAGAGCCGTCCACGACACCACATCCCGCCGGCGCATGCCATCGAAAACCACGCGCGCATCCGTCACGCTCCCACATTTCGCGTACATGCTGATGAGCGCGTTGCTCGCCACCATCGCATCGAGGCCCCATCGCTGGGCGCCCCTGTGGAGCTCGAGATTCCTCCCAATCTCGACCTCCTTGGCAATCCCGCATCCCTTGGCCGCCGCGAGCCACAGCGACGAACTGGGCGATCGATCCAGGCAAGAGAGAGGAGCGAGGAGGAGATCCGGAGGGACCCAAGATGACGTTGATATCCAAGAGCGCCGCCAGGAAGGAGAAAGAGACGAAGAACACTTCCACATGTATGAGCTAGTCAACGCTCCTAGTCAAGAACCCTAAATTTGTGTGGTGGGAAGACATCGACCGTGGCTGGTGGCTATGGTGATGCACAGTCGTTATAGGAGGTGCCACGTGGGCACATCCAAGATCGAATATCAGAGTCAACCGCGGGATAGTGTCGGGCTGGGCTGATTCCGCGCGCTAACGGAGAAGCAGCAGATCGAGAAGCTTCGAAGGCTGGATCCATGGATCCATTCAAGGTAGAGAGATCTTCTTCTCTACAGCTAGACTGAATCTGGGAGATTGGGCGCTGTCTCGTCCAGCACTGTAGCTAGGGCGATGTAGAGCTTAGATCTAAGCGCGCTCCAGATCCGAGAATGGGCGAACGTAGCTGCTGCAGCAGGACCAGGCAGAGGAACAGCAGGGATGGCGATGCGAGCATCATCGATCAAGTGTGCGAGCATCCGTTGCTGCTGGAGAGCGTGCTTAGCATCATCTTTGGAATGGTGGACAGCCCCGCGGAGAGGCGGGCGATGTCCGAGGTGTGCCGCCAGTGGCACGCCATGGACAGGGAGACGCGCAAGCACGTTTATGTGGCCTTCGTCTACTCGGTGTCGCCCGCTACGCTCACTCGCCGCTTCCCCAACCTCCGGAGCCTCAAGCTCAAGGCCAAGCCGAGGGCCTACGAGTTTGATCTCCTCCCCCACAACTGGGGGGGTCATGTCCACCCCTGGCTTGAAAACATTGGGCCCGCCTACCCGCAGCTCTCTGCGCTCCATCTCCGCCGCATGGAAGTCCGCGACCAGGACCTCTCCGCCGTCGCCACCGCCTACGCCGCCAGCCTCGAGACGCTCAAGCTCGACTTTTGCTCCGGCTTCTCCACCACCGGCCTGCGAGCCATCACTGGATCCTGCAAGTAAGCTCTAAGATGATATAGCTCCTGATTGATTTGAATTGGATTCACTCTATCTAGGTGCCTCAAGGTGCTCTACGTGGAGAACAGCTACGTCTCGGACGAGGGCGGGCAGTGGCTCAACGAGCTGGCGCTCCACAACCGGGTGCTCGAGGTGCTCGATTTCCAGCTCGCCATTGGCATCTCCAAGGTGAACGTGGAGGACGTGAGAACCATCATCGAGAAGTGCCCAAACCTGACGTCCCTCAAGCTGGTGGAGGGCGAGGACGGGCTGGGCGATGGGCTGAGGAAGGCCCTGGCGTCGTCCACATCGCTCCGGGAGCTGGGCATCTTCCTCACCGCGCAAGAGGAAGACGATCAGGAAGAGATCGATCAGGGCACCAGCAGCACAGGCCAGCAAACAATGAGAGCGCTGCTACCCAGAAATCTCACCAGCATCTCGGGGGATATCCCTCTCCCGCTCTACACCTCCGTGGCGGCGCAGCTCCTCAAGCTGGATCTCATGACCACTACCTCCATCGAGGCGGAACAGCACCACGCCCTCCTCCGCTGCTGTACCAGGCTCCAAAACCTTCAGGTATACAGAGTCAGTGATTGATCATAACTCATGTCACGTACGTGCATGCATGGCTATGGCGGCAATGGTTGACGGGAAAACCAGGTGCGGACAGTCATCGGCGATGAAGGCCTGGCCATTGTGGGCGAGTGCTGCAAGGATCTTCGCAAGGCCCGGATCGAGGACCACAACGACGAGGGGACCTCGGTGTCACACACGGGTCTCATGGCCCTGGCTCGCGGCTGCTCCAAGCTCGAGAAGCTGGCCATCTACGTCGCGGACATGTCCAACCAGGCGCTGGCCGCGGTGGGCAGCGGCTGCCCCGACCTCCGCGACTTCCGCCTCATCCTCACCGAGGCCAACGATCTGAGCAGCATGACCGAGCTGCCGCTGGACGCCGGCTTCGACGAGCTCATGCGCGGCTGCCACCGGCTATCGCGCCTGTGCATCTACGTCCGCCCCGGCGCGCTGTCCGACCACGGCCTCGTCCGGATCGGCCACCGCGGCGCAAACCTCAAGGCCTTGCTCCTCGGCTGCTGTGGCGACAGCGATGCCGGCTTCCTGGCCATCGCGCGGGGCTGCAAGCGCCTCCAGCGGCTGGAGATCCGCGACTGCCCCTTCACCGACGATGGGCTGCTGCGCGGCGTGGGATGCATGGAGGACCTCAAGCTCATGTGGATCCAGGGATTCAGGATGGACGACTACGGGAAATTGGACGTGCTGGGCGGGGAGAAGTACCGCAATGTCGAGTGCACGCGCCGGGATCCAATCCAGTGCTTGATCTACCGCTCGCTCGCCGGGCCGAGACTAGATTGCCCCGAGGAGGTGGTGTCGCCGCAGGGAAATGGGATGCTCCGCCACAACTGGCTCACTCCAAGCGGTGGGCTCGTCGTCGGCTAAGTGACTATTCCGTGTGTGTATGATTATTCCAAGGCATATTCGTTTGTTTGTTGGGACGTTGAGGCATATGCCACTAGATTCGCCACCATTACCATGTGGCATACCATAGTCAAGTGGGCCATACCAAGTCGAGTTACGTCGTAGCGCTCCATCCCCACGTGTGATTGGTGGGGCCAGGCAACACGTGTGTCCAGTGGCCAGTGGCCATGTCACGTCATACTTTTTATTTACATATATATGTTGGGTTGCTCATGACATGTGCATGTGACCCGCCCCTATTAAATGCCAACCAGCCACCCCCACGTTGCCTTCCTTGCGTCGCGGGCACGGAATATCCCTTGTGTTCGCGGTCAAGGCAACCGCCACCCACTACGCCCGTCATGCCCGTCACGTATGGGTGTGCATTATTCGAGTGTATGGATGAGAGTATAAATCCCTTCTTTCCATCTATCCATATCCACATTCCCCTCTTGTGAGCGTGATGCCATACGATTGCAAAGGTAGAAGAAGAAGAATACGATACTATCTACAATGTAGCCATCGATGATGCGCACGGCCGGATGCATGCATGGGCACCACCACGGCACGTGCGCATGCGGGCCGCACGGGCGCACGCGCAGCACGTGACGGCCCCATTTAACGGAACCCTAGCGCCGCTAGCCCCACGGAAGCCCTACCGTACGGTAAGAGAGAGGAGAGAGAGTGTGTTCTTCGTCTCTCTCTTCTCTTCACTCCGCGCCCCCGCCATACCCGGCTAGCTTTGGCGTGTTTCTTGGGGGATTTTAGGCGGTGCTTGGTAGCGTGCGCGCTGCTGCTACTGCTGTAAGAGCTCTAGCTCATGGTGCCAGGCTACATTCCTCGGCAGCGCCGCTGCCCAGCCGTCGCGGCGTGATGGCAATGAGAGGTTTTTGGAATCGTTTCTCTTGCGAGCGAGCAATGAGGGCGAGCTAGTTGTGGCGGCAGCTCCAGGTATTGTGTAGCAATGCTTGGCATTTCTCTCGCTTAGCTCGTTTTCCTTCCATCTATCAGATCTGGGAGAATAGTTAAGAGTTTTGCTTCCACTCTCCCCACCACTCGGCCATGACTTCGGGCGCGCGGCTTCCCACTTGGAAGGAGCGGGAGAACAACAAGAAGCGCGAGCGGCGGCGGCGAGCCATCGCTTCCAAGATCTTCTCGGGTCTCCGCCAGTTCGGCAACTACAAGCTCCCCAAGCACTGCGACAACAATGAGGTTCTCAAGGCGCTGTGTGCCGAGGCCGGATGGGTCGTGGAGGAGGATGGAACCACCTATCGCAAGGTATGTGTTCTTCGCTTGCTAGAAGCGAGAGAAAGAGAGAGAGGGCTTCTCTGCCAAGTCTGACTCACAGAGTGGTGGTGCTATGCAGGGTGCCAAGCCCGTGGAGAGAATGGAAGTTTGCGCGTCGGCCCCGGCGAGTCCAAGCCCGACTTCTTCGTACCATGGTGGTGGCAGCAATGGTCACACTCTCACCACCACCACTCCCACCGAGCAAGGCACCACTACCGCGTCCGGCGCCTCCTTGATACCCTGGCTCAAAGGTCTGTCCGGCACCACCACTCCCACAAGCTGCTTCCACGGCGCCTCAAGCGCTCCAGTCACGCCACCGCTGAGCTCTCCCAAAGGAAGCAAGCCTTTCAGCCTTAACGGTGGAGGTGGTGCCATAGCTCCAGCGCCTCTCGTCCACGCTCACCATCCCACGGGTGTCAAGAACCACCAGCAGGCCGAGTGGGACAGAGTCACCATGGCCGAGCACTGGCTCGACTCCACGACCGGGTATGGAAACGCGAGCGGGAGCTGGAGCCCGGTGATCGTCGGACCGGCCATTCCGAGTCCGTCAGCCGCGAGAGCCAACGTTGTTCGTCCCTGCGAAACTCCCGACGGTTGTATGACTCCATGCTCGGACGTTGGTGACTCGGAGCCCAACGTCACGGAGCTCCTCAGCAGATATAGCGGTAACAAGAGCGGGAGGTGGATCAATGGAATGCGAGTGGTGGTGAATCCGAGCTCCGCCGCCGCCGCTGCCGCTGTTAGCGCTGCTCCAAGCAACAACCATCACGCAAACGTGAGCGTCAACTTGACCGGCCACCACAGTCCCGGGATTCTCAGTGGCTTTGGCTCCAACAGCATGGTCCCAACTATCTCTTCGTCCGGGACCGCGACTCCCACCGCTGGAAGGAGCTATGGCCAGCACCAGCACCAGCACCAGCACCACTTGGAGCAGCACCACCATCACTTTGTGGACAGCGGCGGTGGCGGGTGGATGAAACCAGCGGGAGCAACAGCAGCATCTTTGCCGCTCGCTTCGTCTGGATCGGGATTTCCGACAGCTCCAGCGCAACAGCAGGCGCAGGCTCTGGCCAGCCATCACTCTCACGCTCATATGGTGTTCAACGCTGGCGGCGGCTTTCATGAGCGTGACAATAACTTCTACGCCACCAACACTGCCGCCGCCGCTGCTGTTGCTGCTAACACTACCACCCCCAACAACAGTAATGGCGATGTGGATGAGGATCACCAGCAGCAGCAGCAGCAACAGCAATGCTCGCCTTGCTCGTCGAGCGTGTGTGGTGTTGTGGTGGAGACTGGCAAGCGGAAGAGGAGCTTACACGAGCTGGACCTGGAGATGACAAGCTCCATCACCAGGCTACAAGCCATGGCTACTAATGACTCGAATGCTCCAGGGAGGAACGCCACCATCTCCGATCGGCTGCAGCTCACTCTGGCTACTCCTGCGTCTTCCAGCTGACAGGCAAGTTCGCTTCTCATGTTTTCCTTTCCCTGACAAGCTTTGGTGCTTGCTCTTGCAGAACGCTGCTATCTCTTCCTAGTCAACTTCCATAGCTACTTAACCAACGATGGCATCGATATAACTAAAGAAAAACATATCTTGTGTTCCATCGTACCTAGCTACGTCAAGAAACAAACTCCTCTTTCGCTCTTACCACGAGGTATTTTTCATGTTATATGAGTGGAACGAATCTAGGCAGCAGGACAGGCTTTAGCCTGCGTGATCTCCAATATGTGCTGCGCTTGCTCCACGATGGCGTCGAAGGATTTGCCACAGAAGAAAGAAGCGGCCGGCATGAGCAGTGACGCTCCAGGAGCAGCGAACGCGACGGCCAGTCCCAGCGCGACACAAACGGCGGTGAAGCTCCCGGTTTTAGCGAGCTCCGCGGCTATGGCGGCACAGGTAGCACTGTCAACCGTGTAGAGTACCGCGTTGCACTTGTGTGGGAATGCCCGCGACACGGAGCTCGCTTCCTCCCAGCAAACGGGGCCCTGGCCCGCGAATCCCTGCGGACAAGCTTTGTAGCACAGGCCTCCATTCTCTTCCTCGTCGGGCTTGCAAACTAGCGGAGTTCCGGCCCCTCGTCCATACGAATGTTTCGTGAAAGATCTCCGGCAGAAGCATCCGGCGTCCTTGTATCCTGGTTTGCAGCCTCCGCAGCAGCCGAAGACTGTGCAGCAGCATCCTTTACCGTAGGAGCTCCAGCAAACACCGCCCATGTCGCGGGTGTCGCTCGGACACGATCTCCAGCACACCGGCCCGACTCCGGTGTGGTTTGCGGAGCACTGCTTGTAGCACAGCATGCCATTCCGCTCGCTTCCATTGTGGCACGAGCTTACTGGCACTCCGGCTCCTCGCCCTCGAGCTTGAGCGATGCAAGCCTTGCCTGCCCAAGATCTTTTGAGTACTAAGAAGCTTGGCTCTACATTGTAGAAAAGTGTGAAGTATGTATAGATCTTGCGACTTGCTTACCTTGGAGACTGTTGCTTGCTAGGGCTGTGGCTGGAGCTGGAGCTGGAGTGCTCGTGGCCTCCACTTGAACTAAACAAATCAAAACAATGAGTAGAAGAAATCTCTGTGTTGTTTGAGACCACCACGAAGAACACGAAGAGGAACACGAAGTCGAGGACGAGGAGACGCGCTTTGTTATGCAAGACTTTCCCATAAAGCAACTCACTTGTTTGGCTAGATAGCTACGCAATGTAGTGTGGTGGCTCACCTAAAGGCGGTGGAAGGAAAAAGAAGAAGAGATTCTATCCTCCACTTCTCGCCCTCCTTTGGGAAAGGCAGCCACCATCAATGCTTGTGCTCTGGGACTTTGTTGTTGGAAGGAACGGCGTTGAGCGTTTTGGAAGGAAGCCTGCGAGGCACGCGAGGCTTGGCACAGGCCTGGAGAGGTTCCAGCTTCTGGGTGGTGAGATAGACCGTGTCTTCCACAACATTCCTCTTGTCCATATCACCTTGCGGCAAAGTCCACTCGAAGTGCTGGACGAGAGTGGCGATGATCATGGGAACAACGTAAAAAACTTGGGCCATCCCGGCGCAAATCCGTTTGCCTCCGCCAAAGGGCATGAGTCTCATGTCCGTCAATCCCATGTCAAAGCTGCCACCTTCGACTCCTAGAAACCGTGATGGATCCCACGTCTCGGGATTGCTCCAGCGTTTTGGGTCGTGGTGGATTCCAAAGATGTTGACAATCAGCTGGAAAGTTTTACGTTGTGATCGAGCTATGAACAAGAAACCTTTGGCTTTCACTCACCTGGTAGCCAGCCGGAATGGTGTAGCCACCCAGCTCGACTTGCTCGTGTATGTATCTCGGGGGTAAAATTGGAACGGGGCTGTATTTTCTCAGCGTCTCTTTGATGACAGCGTTGAGGAAGGGAAGATTTGGAAGATCGTCTTCGCTCACCATCCGCTCATCTCCCACCACGCGTTTGATCTCGTTGTATAGCTTCTCCTGCAAAAGTTTTGATGTTAGCTTCCCAGTGTATATTGTGATGGTCGATCTTGCTACCTGTAGTTTTGGACCGCTGGCCAGCTCGTAGAGAGCCCACTCGGATGTCACCAGTGTCGTGTCGGAGCTCTCAATGATCGGCTCCCACGCAGCCAGCAACAGCTCGTCCTCACTGTAGTGTGATTCATTGTCGAGAAGAACATCGCAGTAGCACTTGTCTCGCTGCTGCAAAGTAGAAGACACAAATCTCGTGAATATACTAGCGTCTCATAAACAACAGAAACAAACCTGGCTGCGAGAGAGTTGCCTGTGCTGCTCCATCAATGCTTTGGTCACCGCAGACCTCTTGCGCTCCACCTTGTAGATCCCATCCTCAAACTTCCGATTGGGAATCCACTTGAGGCTCGGGAAAAAATCTCTCCAATCGATCTGGACGGCCGCTTTCATCACGTCCTGCACAAGGACGCGGTAAATCTCCCATCTCGTCACCTCTGCTCCAAGCTCTGGAACTCTAACACTCTCGATATCTCGGCCAAAAACCTACGTATCACGAAACTTTAGCTCTTCCTCGAGATGTTTTACACTTGCCTGGTGCATTCCTAAACGGAAGAGAAAGTTGGCAATGCAATCTCTGGCGTTCACCTGACCTGTAGAACCAGGAAACCTCCCGAGCTCATCAAACAGGCCGTCGAGTGCAATTCGCAAGTAATTTTCGCGCTGAACATGCAGAGCTTTCTGAAAGGAAATGTGATTTAGAGAATAAATCAAGCAAAGTAACCTGCGAAGTTTGTCCGAGCAAGTTGTTCACCACCATTCTCTTGAGCATCCTATACCGATCGCCATAGTCACTCATTGCCACGATCTTCCTGTTCCTGGTAAGAATGGTAAGGTTTGATCCCAAATCCCTGTTGGAGATGGAGGAATACTTGGCGACAACAGCCTGCCACCAATGAGTTAGCTTTGCCATGAAAGATGCTGTTTACCACCTCTCTTGCGAGCTCCGGCGAGCTGACAATTACTTGGGATTTCTGGCCGGTCCTGATGGTGTAGATCGGCCCATACTCGTTACTCCAGCTTGTAAGCTTGCGGTGTGGCCTCTCCACCGTCATCTGGAGGAGGTTTCCAACAAACGGCAGCCCTGGCACCTCTGCCACACACGAGCAAACTCTACAGTAATGTTTTGGCTGATCGACAGATGCATGCTCGAACAACTTAGATCATTGAGTGGTTACCTGGCGGTAGATTGTTGCGGCGTCGTTTCGAAGAATGCTTGTGTAAGATGGCGACGGTGATGCAAAGCAGCGCCAGTCCCAGTAGAGCGGCAGTGGCGGCAGGAGGAAGAAAAGACCCTGCACCAAATTCCCCGAAAGCTTGATCCAAGCCGCTGCTTTTCGCCATGTCTTCGAGCTTCCTTGCCGCTGCCTCGGACCACAGGGGCAAGGCCGCTCTTAGAGAAGCCATGCGTCTTGTTCGCAGAAAAAACAAAGAAGAAAAATACTATTCACCCATGGCATGGATAGATGATTTCTCCTTACATTTTGGGCGATGGTGATCTGCTCACTCCCAGAGCTGCGCATCCCCTGTTGTTGTTGCTCGATCCTCCTCCTCCTCGTCCGCTCTTGATAATTGCATGATCGAAGAGGTTACAAGGCGAGCACTTCACAACGTCCATTAGTGGAAGCGATTCTCGATCAATGCGTCCAAGGACGAGCTAGATTCTATGCATTTGTAGGAATAATGTGCTTTTGATTCGCGTCCAAATAAACAAGAACAAAAAGAGTATTCCCTCCGCACAAACAACAAAACCCCATCAACAGAGAGGTTAACGACTAATCGCCTCGGACAACGAGTAAATCACGGACGTTGACATAGCGTTGACCCATAGCACTAAAAAAGTCCATCTTACACCCGCAGAGAGTCAATGCACGCGCCCAGGATGGCAGGATCATTCTTTCTCCTGTTGATCTCCTGATACTTGCATTTATTGTCCTGGCTAGCTATAGATGATAGAGAGGGATTTTGGAGACGATCGAGGCTAGAGAGAAAAAAAGATGTGTCACTGTTTTTTTCAATTGGCTGGTACAAAATCCAGGATTCTTTCGTGTGTAGATCTCTGTAGTATCATCACTTCCAAGGCAGCGATGCTATACGTAGCACTGCCGACTGTCAACTTCTGTGAACTCGCTCGGAGGTAGCTCCAGTGAACCAAGTTTAATCTTGATGGGATTGTAACGCTTGCTCGAGTGAGAGCCGGATTTCCATAACTCATCCCTGGAGTCGCGACTAAGTGTCGAGGCACGACCACTGCATGGGTCCCTTGTCCTTGACATTCCGGTGGCGGCAATCGCCAAAGCTTGCTCCATCGTCTTGTTCCTCCGCCAAGGCCGATATGTGGTAGCGAGCTTCGTTCCAAGGCCCGGCGTCCGAGTACTCGCAGCCTTGCGGGCATCGGCAGCTGCCACCCAAGAACTCGGGCAAGTTTTGCTTGTCCACCAGCTCCAGCAGCTTGGGAGCGAAGTTGCTGCCATGGACCTCGATCTTCTTCTGCGTGCGCTTGTCCAGCCACGGCTTTATCACCGTCCAGATGGCCTTGAACGCCATGGGAGCGTTGACGATGAACATCTTGCCCAGGAACTCGGGGTAGTAGTCCTGGTCCACTTTGGAGATGTTCTGGATGAAATGCCGGACTTGCTTGCTCATGTGTTTCATCGTCTGCCAGATCAAAAGCGTTGTTTGCTGAGTGAGCAAGCGATCGATAGACCACCTAGATCCTGGCTAGATCCTCTAGAATGGAAAGAAACACTCACCACTCCTTTCAAGTCGAGGATGGCCAGCGACTGTGATATCGTCTTGCCGGCCTTGCGTGAGCACGCCGGGAACTTCCACTCGATGAGAATCTCCCACTCTTGGATGTGCTCCATCATCATCCTGTCCATGGTGGTGATCTTCATCAGCTCGTCCACCTGGAGCTGCCCCAGTTTCTCGATGTACAGAGGTCGCCCCAGCTTGTCAGTCTTGTGATGGAAATGTGGGTACAAATTTTTCACCAGATTCCTCTCCGGGAAATCGAATGTCTGGACCGAGCAAGCAGATCCAACGAATCCAAGAACACAACGAAAAAAAAAAGAGTAAGAACACACCGGAAAAAAAAAAATGTTTTTGGAGTACTTACCTCTCGAATGGTGTCGGCCCCGACTTGCATGCGCCAGTCCAGCATTGCCTCGTACATGGCCTTGGCTTTGGCGACATCGAAAGATCGAGCTCGCAGGAAGCGCAAGAGATCGCAGTCAGTGTCGCGCTTGCGCACCAGATTGTGCTCCACCAGCAGCGATCTAAACCTGTTAAGCGCCTCCTCCTGCGAGAGCGTGAGATCCTGAGGCCCTCCGCCCGTTCTAGCAAGCCGCTCCTCACCCGAGCGATCCAGTATGTCGTCCACGCGCGACGAGCAAGGGCAGAGCTTGGAAATCTGATCTGCCGCTATGGACGCCATCCCCGAGAAGCAAAAGAAAGGAAGGGAGGAGGAGCGCAATCTAGTAGCAGCCCACCGCCCACCCAGTGTAATTCACATCCATTCGCTCCTTCAAACCTGTGAGCTTAGCTCCAATTCGCAGCGCGCTCGAGTTAAAGAAGTCCCCACACGCACGAATCTCCTCGCTCGATCGGCGGCGGCGCAGTGAGAGGGCAATGCCGGATCTGGGGCGATCGATCGCTTGCGCCTGCGCTTGCGTGGGCAGAGAGAAAGGGAGAAGGAAGAGAAGAAGCCCGCCCCTCCGCTGCCGCCCCTCTTCTTCTCTCACCTTTCTTTGCCCTGTGCGATGGTGCCCTCCTCTCTCTCTTTCCCTGTCGCACGCAAGCAATTACCCTGACGCGAAAGATTTATGGGTAAAAAAGGGAGTAAAATCGCCTCTGTTTGCCAGACGGACACCAAATAGAGCGATTCCGTCATCATCCATGGCCACGCTGGCGCCACGTGGATTATGCCCCATTAACTAGGAATATCCACTGGCTGCTGTGAAGATAGTCAAAGTGGGCAACTTGGATAGCTCGTTCGGTGTGTCTGATCACTCTGCAACGTAGTTCCACTTCTCCCGTGTGCCAAAGATGTTTCCGTTCTGGGCATAAACTTGGATTATTCCAAGCACCTCATGTGCTTTCTCCATGTTTCTTTGACCTGCGAAAGCCGCCAACATTGTCGTCTGGGCCAAAAACTTCGTCGCAGAAGGCATGGTGTCAAATGCCACATGAATGACCACCAAGGCATTTGCTGCTATCAGCGAATGACTTCAACGATGGCATCAACTTTAACGCCTCCCTGACCATGCACGATTGTCCAGTCAGAAAAAAAAATCTCCCAGAACAAAATGTTCCAGGAGATACCACCCCAAGTGGGGGCATCTTGTGAAATGAGAAATTAGCAACCCGAGATTGTCTTGGAGCATGATGCAAAGTGTGTCTTCGACAAGATGTTGCTTTGGAGGAACGGGGAATGGGACATCATCTCGTATGCTTACACGACTCGGGGCAGGGTAGCCGAAACAAGCAGAGTTCTTATTACAATTCCCGAGCACATTCTCATGCGTGGAACGCAAAGCTTGAAATTTATACATAAAAATCCTCGATGCCTCATTACGTCGTTCATGCATGAAACTGCATTTAGTGAATCGTTACAAATATTCCCTAGAACTTCGCCAGCTCGAGGAGCCAAGTGCGTGAGAACGGAGAGGCTTGGAAACACTATCCTCAGGTACCTGAGTTCCTCGGCAATGAAGGCGACGGTGGGTTGAATTTGCTTCATAAGCCGCTGGTAAATGCCATATCGGGCTAAAACTAAAGTTTTACCTTTGACGATGTCCAGGAGCAGCTGCAACAAGGCAAAGGACAGACTGCTACAAACCACGTACACCACCGTCTCGTGGGGAGCCATGCTACGGAATGTAAAAGGACTAAGCACAACAAGGTTCCTTGCTCTGGGGCTGAGGTGGTGGGGCGTTGCAGTCATTGATACGTGGACCTCGTGGATGAAGCTCTTGCGAATGCGAAAGCAGCCTTTCTCATGCGGAAAGGCAAGATGGACCAAGTGGCACAGAGAAGCAAAGAAGACCTATGCAACCATGGAGGATCATGCGAATTCCAATAGTCTCCGAGTTCAATGCTGAACTTGTCCGGGCAGAGAAGAAAATCCAGACTGCTAAGTGAACAACCAACGATGTTGGCTGTGCTTCTCTCCGGCCTCATGATCATGAGATGCCTTTACGGGAATCGAGTTCTAGACCGAGGACGGTGTCAAAGTTCTCGTAAAGTCACGCGACGCGGAGGCAGACAGGCAAGAACCCAGCGCTACTTTACTTGGGGTGCTAACTTCTGTTAGTTTCAAAATGCCCAAAAAGAGAAACTAAAGCAGCTATTTGTAGTGAGCCCGAGAAGATCGCTTCGCTGCCGTGGCTTAGAGAGGCAAGTCGATCATGGTGGAGAACTCAATAGGTTCTACAAACATGATGTGCATGCAACTCATCGAATGCTACTGAGGCCACCGGGTTTCATGTCGCTGCCACATTTCTTGTCGGCCGATCCAAACACCCTCCAGAAGCGCAGCGTCTCGTCCGCGGCCACAGATGCAACCGTTGTTTCCTCGGGGCTCTACATGCAAAACAGGAAAAGCCACTGGCAAAAGCTGGAGAAGAAGAAAACAATTTGTGAATTGTTTGGTGATAAACCTGTGCCAAATGGATCACTCGAGCAGTATGGCCCTGGAGCTCGGCAATCCTGATCATCGACGGATACTTCCACACACACAGCTGGTTGAGGCTGTAGCCATGGCTGCTGAGAATCTCCTTTTGATGCTGGCTCCACTGTAGAGCACACACCTGCATGAAAAAATCGAGAGCTTAGTGAAGGAAAGATTGAGAGGAGAAAAGATGGTGGAGAGAGAAGATCACCTGGGACAAGGTATTGATGCTGTTGAGACACGTCCTGGTGATGCATCAATCCACAGTTCCACCACCCAAGGCCAGCAAGCACGACTGAAACAGGCACCAGGCAAGTGCCTTGACAGCAGCTTGATGGCAGTTGGACCGGAACATACAGCTGGAGATATCCTGTGTCCCAGAAGAGATGGTGTGGCATGTAAGTATGCCTAGATGGTAGTAGTTTTTATGGATATATACCCATCTATATACACTTGATATACACAAAAAATTTCTTTCTTATGTTGTTCTTTTATTGTATCGGAGCAATTGGCTCTTTGATCCTAGGGATGGCATTTGTTGGCCAAGAGGCCAATGAGGAGGAGGAGGATGAACCTCTTGATTGCAATCCTTTTGGCAATATTGGAGGCTTTTGTTGGATGCATTAAATGCTTAAGGCATTGCATCAAAGCACCAGATTATGAAAAGGTGTTGAGTAACAAATAGCAGCAAGTAGAGTATAAAGTTAATGGGAGATTGAAAGATTTCAACAACCTAGATTAATTAAGATTTATAAATATTACATAACAATTCTTTGCAGAAATATCTAACAATTGGGAAGAATATTTATAGAGATTCAAATGCCTAGTAGCAGCAGAAGTGAGAGTTTGGAAATTCACAGCCAATACCATGTGTTAGTGGCAAGATTAAAGCTATAACAATAAGCAGAAATGTGTGCAAGTAAGGCTAAGACCAAGAACCAAGTTTTGGGTAGTTGATTGATTATATAGAAATTAACAACTAATCCAAGCCTGAATCTAAGCTTAAATCATGCCTAGCTAATTTAAGTTGATAGTTGATGAGAAAAGAATACAAAAAATTCTACATGTGTGTATGCATTTCTCTTGTGTGTGTTATGAATTCCACTTTCTAACAAAGTTGATAATTATATATGAGGCTAGAGAATTTGTAGTTTTAATAGTTTACACTAGTCAACTGAGTGCACTTCGTGTTCTTAAATGCTACTTTGGTCTGTGAATTTCACTTTGAACTTCAATTTTATTTTTAAAAAATTGCAGGTTTGTAAGAATTAACATAATGGTATCATAAAAAAATTTATATAATATGTTTTACATGTTTAGTCAGATACCGACATTGATTTGATAAAATAAATAAAATAAAATTATTTTAATATTAATAAAAAAATTTAATTACTTTTTAGTACATAATTAATTTTTATCAGTTAGATATGTGATTTTTTAATTCAGCAGTTTAAATGATATTTTTGAATTCAAAAGATTTCTACTAATTTCATCACCTCTAAAAATGCCTCTAAATCTAAAAAATTAATTAAAACCAAGGAAGGTCTAAACTTTCACAAACTTGAAATATAAATTTTCTCTTTTTCACAATATCATTGTTAAATGCTTGTCTTTAATAATATTCCAAGTTGACTCTATTATATCTAACCAAGATACATAAAAAATACCTGTCTCCCATTTAATCCTTGTAAAGGATAAAAAAACATCTTTTCTATCATTATTATTTTTTTATTGTATAATTTTTAAAGATTCTAAATGGTTCAAAAAGTCTTAGTTATTGTTAAATCTGTATTGTTGTTGAATTTGGGTAGTATTTAAATAAATTTTTATTTTGATGAAAAATAAATTAGTAGCTATAAAGCATATAGATTTTAGGCAGTTGAAGAAGCACTAAAAACAAATAACAACAAGTAATTTCAACAATTTATATTAAAAATTAAGTTAAGATTTTGAATAGTGATTTTTTTCATGTAATTAAGAAGGATGATTAAGTGTTTAGTAGTAGTAGAAGTAGTAGTAAAAAATAAATTTCCAACTTTATTTCTCTTTCTTACTAATAATTAATTATTGTACCTTTAGTTTTTTCTATCATTATTCACACCCAGAATTAAGGAGTCAATTTCTCTAATACCATGAATGTAATGGAGAAATATGCACACTATGAGGAAGAACTTTCTATATATCAATTGTATATAGATGTAATAAATTTGATATTATGTAATAATGTTTTTTGCATTCCAACTTATTTCATTTTGTCTTACTCCAATCTCTTTACACTTTTGGATCTTCTTTTCTTTATTCTATCCTTGACCAAACACTTTACAAAAAGAACACCCCATGCAAAGATCTAAGAAATAATTTAACCCATTATATGTGCACATGTAGCTAATGTGGTTTTTCTCATTCCTCTTCCATTCCGATCCTCAATCCTTTCTTGCACATATTTTTTCTTATTATTATAACTTCAATCTTGTTACTATATTAGGTTCCTACTTCTACTACTACTAAGCAATTAATCATCCTTCCCAAATACATGCAAAACTTTACTATACAAAATCTTCCTTATTAAAGGGTATGTGCATGCCCATTGACCACAGTAACTTACTTTCTATATTCTTAATGGTAATAACTTTAACCTCTTAATGTCTTTCTGAGAGTGTTTTGTGTCATTTGCCTTCTAAGATATAAATTGCAATCACCATTTGGAACACTTTGGTGCTGAGTGGTGTTCTATAACAAACCCCTGAGTAATAAAATAATGTTTAATTATCTATCTTTTTTATTATAATAAGGCAAATATGGTCATATATCAATGTGTCATAATAATGTAAAAAACATACTAGGACAATGTCAAATATCTTCAAATAGCTTATTTACCTCTTTATTATCATCAATGTCCCTTTTAGGAGCACAAATATGAGTGAAATACCACCACCTTCAAATACCACCACCTTACTATTACAAATCTCCATACAAGTATGAGTATGAATAATAATAGAAATAATAATTGTGTGATAATTGTTTTTCTTAATGTGGGCATAATTACATGCCACATCATCTCTATCTCTCACACCAGATGTGGAGTAGATTATCGTTCCTGCCGCTGGCCAGCTGTTGCCACATGG